TCAACTCACCAAAAACAAAGCCTGGGAGATACCAGATTGAGATAATATCTGACAGCACTGGCCTCACTCTTCAAGCACGAGGAGAGACTTTCATGACTGCTTTCTTTGGAAAAGTTTTCTACGTCATGGAGTGGCCTCGACAATTATTCATGTTAAAGCCTCAGTTTCTCTATTCTCACAACTGTTCAAAAGAAGCGCTACTATCTATTTTGTAGGTTAACTCAATCTTGCTTCAGCTATATTATCATGGAAATACCCCTCTTGCCGAATAAGTTCAAGCCAAAATAGTGCAAAGGGTAAATTCAGTAATTTAAAGCTTCATCTTCGGATGGTTGTAGATTTTGAATAAATGAAGTTGGTCGTAGAAGTAAAACACATAAGAGAAAGCATGAAGAGCGGGTTCTTTTAGTATGCGAAATTGGTCGAAAGATGCATATACACAGAAGAACGATGGACAACCTAATAGAATCTCGACTTCCATTTTTCTGTATATCCAGGTCTTTTCATGGCGCTGATTCTGGATGTAACACTCAAAATGCATGAATTCCTCAAAAAACCCCATTGAGACAATTCTTTAAGCACCGTGGACGAGTCTCCTAATGCTATCCTTGTCGAAGCAAGCATTAACAGGTAGACACTATCTGTTTGATTGTGTTCGCCACGTGAAAACACGTCAAGGGCTGGGAAGAGTTCGTTCAAGGAGGCGGGCGGTGCAAGGAAGTGGGCGTGGTCCTCGAGGCTCGACCTTTTCTGCTCCGATCTTCTTTTGCAGAGGGTGTTTGAATGTCGGATTTGCGCTATAGTTCTAGATTGAGGCCGTAGTACTCGCATTTGATAGTATCCGAAAATGTCCAAAACTGCCCGGACGCTGCCTTTAAGGGCAGCGTCCCGGCAAAAAGATGGCTGCCGGGTTTCTGTGGCGATTTCAAAGTAGACCCCCTACCTAAGCGATGACTGAAGTGGAGCGAAAGAGGGGGTCTAGCAGGCCTGAAATTTGCTCCGAAAGTGGACCGAATCTTACGGTAGGCCCGGACGTCGCCCACTCAGCAATATCGATTTGCAAGGCCAGAGTGCGTATAGCGCACACACTCACGAGCGCAGGGTTCCGCAACGACTTTGCGTCTCTACCTTGCATGCATCTCGCAGTCGCCCGAGCCTACCGTAAGATTCGGGCCACTTAAGGGGCGATTGGTAGGCTTTGTAGACTTCCTTTCGCGCTGCAAACTTCTGTCGTCGCTTAGTTAGGGGATCTACTATTACATTACGACGAGAGCCAGATAACCCCAGTCTGGTGGGACACTGCCTTTGAGAAACGAATTACCCGAAACAATGATTAGTGAATTCTGTTGCTAAAAAGCCTGTCGATCTCTCTTCAAACAGGTTGAAACATTGTTAAAAACTCCCTGAGTCGTCGCAGTTATTGTTCATTCCGAAGGCAGCATTTATCATGCTGAAGAGACTAATAAATTGCAAGAAATCGTTAGGCACCTTCGAAGTGTGCCGCGTAGAATACATGGCTTTCTGTCAAAAATATTTCATTATTTAGACAACCCACAACAGCAAAATTGTACGAACTACTTGACCTAAATAAGAACGCTAGAGAAAGGAAAATTGCATTGCACGAACGCTTTTTTCCCAGTGAGCAATGATTTAGGCAGGGATAAGCGCCACTGAGAAGACGCGGGTGGAGGACATTAGGTCGCCGAAAGTGAGGAGGTCCCACGCGGATAAGGCAGCAGATACTTAGCCTGTGCATGCATTGGAATGTGTATTTGTTGCAGATGTTCGGCGGGACCGGCGACCTAATGTCCCCCACCCAGAAGACGCTCTAATTTTTACCAACTGGAAGTCGAAGCTAAACGAGAAGATGTATCGGGAAGAGGTGCTGGTGTAAGCTGTGGTCCTCCCATGGAAAAGAAACGAAAATAAGGTGCCCCAGCAAGATGGGTTCAGGCGCAACAGCGAATGTCACCAGTGCCTTTCCAGACGCCAATGTGCCCGGATACTTCACCAAATGGCCCACCAACAGTCCGATTTCGATCCACTTGACTTTACTCTTTGGGGTTACTTAGACAAGTTAAGAAGCAAGAAAGTAAACTGTGTGAATGATCTTTGTAGAGAACACGCAAGAGCATGGGACGATTTAGATCAAGACTTCGCGCGCCATTTGAGTGATACCCTGAATGGGTGCACGTGTGTGAGCAAAAGTTCGAGCAGTTTTTTAAAATGATGTTACCTATGATGTTTACTCCCTTTACAATAGAAATCAGAGGAAAGTAGTTGAAGAAAAAATAGAGTTTATGAGCGCGCATACTTTTCAGCCGCTCTTTACATTACCTGCAGTGCTGCACAGGGTGATCGGGTTTTTCCAGTAACAGATACGATACAGATATAGCTGGGCGTCGGCAAAATCTACAGTCTGTCCCAATCCCAACCAGGCCAAAATTGGCATGGCGGAGTCCGCGTCGCTGGGGTTTTGCGGCCACGCCCACGTCCTGCTTCTCTGCTCTTTCTCTCTCTCTTCAATCCTTTTGCTCTCTGCGACAGCGCGCATATGCAATGCAGACCGCCAGCGCTACGAGCGCGCAAATTTGCCGACGGTTCGGCCTGGTCCCGATTGGAGCAGACTATACGTCGAAAAACCTTATAGCCTGGAGCGCAAATCACCTTGTAGCTACTAGCATAAAGTCGGAACTTTTCGGCAACAAACTGGACGTTATTCCTTATTCAGCAGTTTGTGGTCTCGTCCGAATCAAGAAGCTGGAGTGGAGCTCGTGTTGCCCATCCGGATACGATGATAGTCAGGATGCATGAAGCCGCAATCGCCGCAGGATCTCTGCTCACGGGCCCTTTTTCAGCTAGCAGCTATAAACAGCATTGCCTCAATGTTGTGCTTCTTTCTCTTCGCTATTTATCAATGTCTTGGTTGATTATGTTCCGACTGGGTTTCAGTTATGTTTAAACCTATTTGTGATTTGTATGGAATACGCGATTGAGCGAGTTGCTTATGGATAGACTAAGTATTGATTTGTGATAGACGACTAGAGCCAAATTCTATGTGACACGATGAATTCAGAACAGCGGAGGGTATATTATTGTCCCGTTCTGGTATACGGTGGTTGTGCTGTGTCTCTTCGAAATTGTACTAGTTGAGACCATGATAAATGTGCGCATCAGTAGCTTAGAATAGATACTCTTTGCTGTTTTTTTTTTCGTTCTCACTTGGTAGCGTATCACTAGTAGCGTGAAGGATCGATATATGTTATATTTGATATATTTTAACTGACTTTCCCTTATAAAGTCAATCATCTTTTTCAATCTTCTTTGATGAGATACAAAATTTCTACCAAAAGCTCAAGCACCATTATTTTCCGCATCTTAAGTAGTCGTTGGGAAACACACTAATTTTTGGCTGTTCCTCGTCCTCCAAGTATCCGTTCAAGTAGACGGATTATGAAAAACTCGTAAAATGTCGTATGTCAAACTTTTAACACTAATAGTGCACGCGTTACTCGTAAATCTCTAATGTAATAACTGTCTTTGTGGCACCTGCTTTTATGTTCAAACGCCACTTTCCGTTGTCAGAGTACAGAAATTATAACAGACACATATAAATTCCAAAAAGTTATAACGATAATATTGATGACAATCATACATAAGAAACTTCATTTTTAATAGTTGTGATTGTGAATAACTGTTCTTATAGTTCTGGGTTTTTATTCTAAAAAAGTTTATTTCCTAGTTCGGAAGCGAGTGGCGTAGCGGTGTGAAGCGCCGCTATGACCATATCGGATCCAGTTCGATCCCGCCCCTGGGCACAAGCCCTCTACCGTCCGGGGCCGGTAATATGATACCAGAGTAATCTGAGAGGATAAAAGCACTAACTTGGTAATAGTCTGGCCCTCGCAAGTCACTGTAATAGGCCCGCAGCATTCATTAGCCTCTTCGACTATGAAATAAAGAGCGTTCGGCGCATGTACGCAGAGGGTATTGAAAACGCCAAATCCTTTACTTTTTACTACTAGGTTGGAAATTAAGTTTTGCAACTTATCCAATAACTTTCCTCTCACTAAGCATGGCGCACTCAAAATTTGCCACTGTGTTGGTTATGATGTAAGCTACATGCACAGCTGCTGTTCTACCAAATTCTGACGTCGCAGTGAGGGTTACGGTAGATATATGATATGGGGGGAAAAATTATAAAATTCAACAGATTTGGCTGAAATTTGGCATAGTGAAGTTATTCGACATGCTGATCACGACAACGATACTGAAGTGCGTGATAAGGGCTTTTTCGTAAGATTACTACAGGTGTACGATATAAGGTTTTACTCTAAACAAGGAAAAAGGCGTTGACCCAACAAATGAATATGGTATTCGTGTTTAGCAGGTCAAAGAACCTCAATTTGTAAAAGCTCGGGGAATTTTGTGGTTTTGACTCCTTAGTCATTGACGGTTGTCCCCAGCAGCCTTGCGACAGCGACCAGCGACTCTTTCGAATTTGTGAGGGCGCCAAATCTCGACTTGCCCCTAAATTTTATTTCCTTTTCAGTGAACCGAATAAGTCAACCTCTAGCAACAGTTCGTACACGATTCCGGATCACTGCGCATGGTCTAGGCTGCTAACGGCTTCATTTTGAATTATAACTCAAAAAATTCACAAAATTCATCAGTTTTCGAAAAACGCCTGGAATTTCTCTAATTCGTTTTCAAAATTCGAACAGGTTTGGTCAGTTGTAGCTTACACTACGCTCCACATACTGCCGAAGTTTGAGTGCGCTACATCCAAAGAGGGTGGAGTTATGAAAGTAGTTGCAAAACTTAGTTTCCAGCCTAATATCCTTATTTCCTTGTGTACTACCTTCCTTTTCTTTTCATCGGCCGTGGGTAAGGGGAACGTTAGATTCCGGCTCGAGGATGAAAGGTGTAGGAACACGTGTTCCCGCTATCGCATGTATGTAGTAAACATCAATGTAATTCCACATCATTACAAATATTTTATCTTCATCTACACCATAACATTAATGAAAGTGTCGTGTTCACTGATAAACAGCGGATGACTACAACAAAGGGAAATGCATACAAACAGATAACGATCTACATTAACAACGTTTTGACCTGTACCGTATCAATTTGAAACCTGTTAATGAGGAAAACAACAAAAATTATATATTACTCGAGAAAAATTAGCGGTCTGTACCGCAACGATATGGGTAAAAGAACATGCGAACCCGCACGAGGATCGATGTCTCTTATTTTAGCACTACTATTTTATTGGTTTTTTTTTCTAATTTGAAAATTGTCCCTAACAGACCTAAGGCAAAAAGCGGAGCACTGGTGATTGACGAAACCGCACAAGCGTTCGAACGGTCAAAACGTAGACGATCGTTATGATAAAGCTCATGGGGACCTCATATAAGCTACAATACGACGTGGGAACAAATATCATAGGGAGGCGAATTATTATTCGTAGGGACACAAGGTAATATGCAGAATATTATAAATGCGCCGTAAAACTATTGGCGAGCTATCCAGAACTCGGGTTACAATACGAAGAACCGGAAAAGCGTTATTATGAATGCGGAAAGAACACCTGGAAAAATATTATAAAGAGTTCAACAAAAATGGGAATTTGCGATTAATATACCTGCCACAGGAAGCGTAACAATCCAGCTCAAGCATATGTTACGGAATGTGCTCCACTGAACGGTATGACCGGCTTGAACAAGGCCAACAGCAACGACGGAACCAACCTTGAACAGAATTTTTATTGAGAAAGGAAGTGATATGTTGATATAACGTTTTCTATGATAGCTTGGGTAAAAAAAAGGTCGCTGTCATTTCTCGGAGTTACCTGAATATACGGCAGGAAACCTTCATGAAACATCGAGGTTGGCAAAAAAGTTCTTGCGGGACTTTTATAAAACTTATCAACTTTCCGACTTTCACACCCAAATCCATGGTTTTTTTCCAAAAATAAAAATTAAGGGAGGTTTGCGTCTTACGACAGTTATTTACGAAGCACACACCTTCTATTTCTGAATAAAAACTATGCCTTTAACTGAGTTTTGGGAGGTTATCGATCCTATGAATTACGGATGAACTTTTGTGCCAAACTCATATAATACCGGCTATTACTATGTCGCTGTGGAAAAAAGAAAAAGAAAATTTGACTCAATCCTGATAATAGCGTTATTACCTTGCACTGAGTTGAGGAAATCGGTAAACCCAATTTGGAAGCAATGAGGACTGTTACAGCTGCACCAAATTCGATCGCAAACCCGCTGAAACAAGTTCATTTTTTTGCATAAAGCCAAGAAAAATAAACATGGTAGTAGTAAAAAAAAAGAATTTTTTAGGTCAATTGAGTTTATTAGCCGAAAATCGTGACGAGTAGAGAGAGTAATGAACATTCTAAGATTTATGCAGAGATTAGTGGACGGGTATCTTGCAAAAAACACATCTGTCTCTTCGACCTGCTTCAATACTGTTTGATGGTAAAACTTACCTGGGAGGTGTGATTTTAGTAAGATTCTCGCCCACTGTGTAGATAACACGATGTCCAAGCACCCACAAGCCAATACACATACCAAGAGCTCCGTATAGTAGGATGTACCTTCAAATCTAATACTTTAGCTATATGAAATCAAAATATGATAAAGAGACTTACACAGGAGTATCGAGCGTTTGAAAAGCAGATCCTTCCATGTAGATGACATAAAGGGAGGCCAGCGGTGCGATAGCATTACTGAAATAAAAAACATGTAATACAGGGTGTCCCGATAATGTGCACACTGTTTGATTTTGAATAACTCTCTTATTATGAGGTCTTTCGAGAAGCGGTAAGCGCCATTTTGTAGAGCTGGCTTCAATTTAGATTTGCAGTATAGAGCGAATCACCGACCGCTCTTCATTACTGTAGGATTACGGTAGAAACTTGAAAGAGGGTTTTGGGCCATGAAAGGCCATATTTTGCCTCAAAAAGGAATCAAAACAGCCTGAAAACTTTTACACTAGGCCAATTAGAGTTGCTGATTCTAACTGTAAAGTTCCCAACTTATTATGATGCTTGACTGAAGAGTCATGCGAGGTAAGCAGTAGCGGCCATTTACTCAATGTTCCTAAAAAGTGCGGTTATACCGTTTAGAAAGCTTCGCAATCTTGAGAATAGTTGAGTATTGAACTCAGCGTCCCTAATAACCCTAGTACACAAGTTTTCACATCTTTCTGAAAATTTTTGAAATGGCAGCTTTTTCCACAGTGACACCATATGTTCCAAGTTTCTACCGTAATCCTACAGTAATGAAGAGCGGTCGGTGATTCGCTCTATACTGTAAATCTAAGTTGAAGCCAACTCTACAAAATGGCGCTTACCGCTTCTCGAAAGACCTCATAATAAGAGAGTTATTCAAAATCAAACAGTGTGCACATTATTTTGGGACACCCTGTATATCACCCTGTATATCCAAACAATAAATCTGAATAAAACTTCAGTACCTGACATCGTTACCTCCATGCGCAAAGCCTCCAAAACAAGCAGTCATCACTTGGAGAAGAGAAAACAAAAGAGCAGCTTGTGGATCTTCTGGTTTTCCAGAGCGGAAAAACGATGCAACTGACGATGACGGAGCGACAGTGTTCATGGCTAAAATGGATAAGTATAAAAAGCATTTCCCTTCCAATAACAGAGGAAAAGGGGGATAGAAAAGGAGATCATGAATTTCTGCTTCTGTTTGAATAACACCCAAACATGCATACAATTGGCAGTCCTATTATTCAAAACTTTGGATAAAGAAAGGGATTATCTGTAAGGCTGGGGTCAAACTTTTGAGGTTCAAAAAGCATCAACTTCGATCCATGTACAAAAATTTGATTCACCAAAAACATATTGAGTGAGAACACGGGTAAAATTGATTGTTAGGCATAAACCACACAAAACTTCGGGGTTTTCATTTTCCCACTACTGCAAAATGCATTTGCAGAGATATAGCAAATCGGATCACTTCAACACACCCAATGCCTGTTTCGCTCTCCATTCCGCAATCGCATCATTTGCAGATTGTTCTTTACCCAAAGAACTCCCAATTCCAGCACCTGAATTGGCCTTTTTCAGGTGAGTTTGCAATCCTGTCAGATCCTACTGCATAAACACCCGTATGATTACTGCTTTTTTGCAGATCTTGTGGAACGCTTCATCAATTCAGCTGACAGTATAAATTTGGTACTTTTGCGTTTGATTTTGTTTTTTGTGACTATTTTCAAAAACGATGTTTCTAGAAAGGAACTGGAAAGACAAGTAGTATGAAACAAGTAAAAGAAGTCCATAGCTCGACAGGAAGTCGCCTTCAATGCAAAATAGCATTGTCGGCCTATATTTTTTTTTGCTGTGAAGAAGAGAAAGAGAAAGAAACAAAGATAGCTGCAAATTACTTGGAATACATCAACACAGCATTTACAATGCTGAATGCGCAAGAAGATGAAAAAGGCATAGATACTTACCGTGTCCAGTAGAACCAGCTGCCTTCTCATCCTTCTCAAAGTCCAACAATGCTGCTTCTAAATAAAGTATATGAGCATCAGCGAAGTACAACGTGGAAAGGTAAACCTACTTTGACCATTCATGGCATTCAATTCGCTGGAATTATTAGACTCGATATCGGTACGAGCTGTAATAATCATATTATCAATTTAATTAATTGACGAGAGCTATAAATGCTTACCAAGAATGCTTCGCTTCAGCCAGGGAGCAAGAATAAATTTAGCAGCAATAGCGCTGATTACACCAGCAGCGATAGATATAAATATACACTGCTTCAAATTAAGGCGATCGAAATAAAGAACTGAAAAACAATGATGGGGGATAAAGAAATAAATTTCTGCTCACCTGATCCTGATTCAAAGGAAATTCAGTATATTGACTAAAAACAACAGAAAAATAGACTTACATTCGGATCCTTCATATATAATAGTAAATACATTGAAAGTCATACAAGCAAAGTACAGCACCGGCAATATCCTAAGGCCACTAGCTAGAGGACGACTCTGAAAAAAAAAAAAGCTGATCAGTAGATCCGCACCACGAGAAACTTTATTTCGACATCATCTGTACACGTCATATCAGTAAGACATATTATTTAGCGTAAAGGAAACACATATTTCCAAAGAAATGCAATCTTTGCTAGAAATTCCTTGGAAACCACTAATCAGCAAAGGTTGACAAATCAGTGGTTAAAAAAATGAAGTGGTTAAAAAATAAAAAAAAACCAACGAGAAACAAAATATGTCATACTTACTTTTCTGAGGACAAAATGATCGATAATGATGAAAAATACCACAGAGACTATACCGGAGAGAAGCGGAGACACAATCCATGATGCGACTGCAATAACCATTTCATTTTGAAGTTGGCTAACTTACAATAATCAACTCACAGATGCGCGAGATCTTATGCCAACGAATCCCTGTTGTACCCCTTAGCATAAGGGAAAAACCGATGGTAGCGCCGACAATGGAGTGAGTCGTCGAGACCGGTAGTTTGAAAAATGTCGCAAGCAACATCCATGCACCGCAACCTGCAAAAAAAGGTTTCAAAACTGAGGCGTCCAGATGAGGGCTAAAAAACATCAAATATATTCAAAAATAAAATTAGTTCTTGTTGTTTCGTTAATTTATACTAAGCATGCATCTCAGGCGCGCGAACTGAAGAAAAAACTCGTAATTTTGCACTCAAATACCTCTGTCAATAGTGTTACCGTATCTCTTACAGCAACTGAGAGTACTGGATACGGTAACATTCAGCAGACTAATAAAACTCTATAACTTGGTAATCGAATTATATAAGTTGTCACAACCGTGAATGGTTCAAAACTGTGCGACATAAAAAAATATAGACTTTTACTCTAGACAAAGAAATGAAGACAGTCTTAATAAATGAACCTGTCCACTGTTCGAGATGTATAATTCGATTTGAGTGGAACTACTGCACATAGTCGGTTCTGTACAGCCAAATGTCTCAAACAGTTTCTGACAGCAAATGAACGACAGGGTCGCAAGGAAGCAAGAAACCGTCGATTTATTCTCAATTTGAAAAAAAAATATTTCATGCACTCTGTCACATACTTCGCGAACTGCTGACGATGCAAATATGGGCTGTTTTTGTAGAATATACACAACCGAATTTCTAAAATATACTAAAAGCGCTTACCAGACAGGATGGAAATCTGTCCATACATGAGTTCGAGCTCGCTGTTGTTATATACAGAGAGATCAAGGACTCCCTTGCGCATCGTATCCGTAACCTTATGACCTAAAATTGAGAGTAAATGAAAATAGTTTCCAGGTATAGCTTCATGATTAATTATTAGCGTTAGAATTATGAGCATCGTCTTTATCTATATGCCTTCTTTGATGCACCGGATAGTCATTCATTTTTTCGCGTTTCAAGAGGACCACCGAAATTAATATCGAAAAAGCCCACAACAAAAACATATATTGGTACTGATATTGAAAACACAAAACAAGTTGTTATTGACTGATAATAGCGAATGTTAACAAAAAATGCGTATTCCGCCAGACGAATACTATGATAGTTATTAAATCATTCGAGCTCACCTATTCAGTTATATATGCTCTTGGGCCTCAGTCAGCGAATGGGCGTGAATTATTAGATCATTATGTATTTTTAAGATCATTATGTTTCTAAAACGTTAGCGATTTCATTACACTTTGAACTTATTACTTTCACATGCATTTTCCTAACACGACAGTTATACAGGGTGTCCCAAAAAAATGTGAACACTGTTTGATCGTTAATAACTTCGTTGCTTTCATGTCTTTCGCCGAGCTTAAGGCACCATTCTGTAGAGCGAGGTTCAACTTAGATTAATAGTATGGAGCGAATCACCGATCAGTGTTCGTTACTGTAGGATTACGGTATAATCTTCTAGCATGTGGATTTATTGTGAAATATGCCATTTGACAAAATTTGCTAAAAAAATCTGAAAAATCGTGTACTAGGGATTTCGTGCGCCCTGATTCCATTAGACAACTTCTTACGAGTGTTTTTAGCTTTTTTGACGGTGTAGTCACATTCCTGACAAATGCTAGAAATTCAGTTATTACGGTTTAAATGGGATAACCTTGGAAAGAAGCATCACAGTAAAATAGAAATTTCATATTCGAAATTAGCGTCTTCCATTACCATAGTATAAAAGTTTTTGGGCTGTTTGGTTTTGTTCCGGGGCAGAATATGGCCTACAATGGCCTAAAATCCTTGTCAAAGTTCATACCGTAATCCTACAGTAACGAACACCGATCGGTGATTCGCTCCATACTTTAAATCTAAGTTAAACCTCGCTCTACAGAATGGTGCCTCAAGCTCGGCGAAAGACATGAAAGCAACGGAGTTATTAACGATCAAACAGTGTTCACATTTTTTTGGGACACCCTGTATATGCTTTTGGGCCTCAGTCAGCGAATGGGCGTGAATTATTGGATCATTATGTATTTTTAAGGTGTGCTCTTTTTCTTGCTTACAAGCAAGACTTTGAAAAAAAAAATTTCGCAGTACGGCTACTGTCAAAAGGCAACAGCTTTAACTCAATAGAATTAAAGTCGGTACTTTTTGACAACTACTTCTTGGGTAAGTTTTCTTTTTGAGTTAAGAACAGGGAGATTATCGAACAAGGCAAGAAGATACTCCAATTTCTACAAAAAAACTTTAGTGATGACTTTATGACTGTATGGTATTTACTATCTAAAACGTTAGCGATTTCATTACACTTTGAACTTATTACTTTCACATGCATTTCCACTAACACGACAGTTATATATGCTTTTGGGCCTCAGTCCGCGAATGGGCGTGATTTATCATAGCAATGACATTCCATATTGGTTGACGATTTAGCAGAAAAAGACTGGACAACAATTATAGTTCTGAACTATACACCAAAGCATTATTTTTATAATTGTAGACATAACAGAGATATACACGGTGTCCCAAAAAGATGCGCCTACTGTTCGATTGTTAATAACTCTCTTGTAATGAAATCTGTCGAGAAATGTTAGGTACCATTTTGTAGAGCGAAATTAAACTTAGATTTACAGTATGGAGCGAATCATCTATCGCCCTTCATTACTGTAGGATTACGGTACGAACTTTGACAAGGATTTTAGGCCATTGGAGGCTATATTCTGCCTCGGAACAAAATCAACAAGCCACGTACTCTTATACTACCTTAATGGGAGCCACTGATTTCGAATTAAAATTCCCTTTTTACTGTGATGCTTCTTTCTTAAGTTATACCCGGTGAATCGTAATAACTCGAATATCAGCATTTGTCAGAAATTTGATAACACCGTCAAAAAAGCTGAAAACACTCGTAAAAAGTTGTTGAGTGAAATCAGCATGCGCGAAAACTCTAGTACACGGTTTTTCAGATTTTTTGAAAAAAAAATTTGTTAGGTGGTATATTTTACAATGGTCCCATATGCTGGAAGTTCTTAACGATCGATGATTCGCTCCATACTGTAAATCTAAGCTCAACCTCGCTCTACAAAACGGTACCTGAAGCTTCTCGAAAGACTTACAAGGGAATGGTCAGAAGTCGAAGTGGCCAATCCAAACAAGCTACATACCATTCAATGCAGCATAGAACGCTGATTTCAAATCTGCCTTCCGTATCTGCAGAGCGCCTTTGTAGGCGAAGTTATGAGCAGCTTTACTGCGAAAAAACCGTATACAAAAATTGCGAAATTAGGCACATTATTGCTGTTTCAGCTCACATCTAGGTACGGGTCATATAAACTGACCTAGTTGCATGTTTTGGTCCAACACTGAGCCGAGAATGGCTTTGTACGGCCAAGTTTGCATTTTATGTGCACAATTTCTTAGCAAAATGATGGCCTTCAACGGCTTATAATTTCATCCACAAAAGCGCTCTGCAGATAAGGAAGACAGATTTAGAGTCAGCCTTTTATACTGCATTCAATGGTATGCAGCTTGTATGGATTGGCCACTTCGACTTCTGACCATTTCCTTGTTAGTTACAAGAGAATTATCAAGAATCAAACAGTAGGCACATCTTTCTGGGACACTCTGTACATCTCACTATTCTATTGTTCATTCATAAGCATTATAATCAAATCTTCTTAATATCTCCAAAGGCCTTAATTTTTGCCTCGATTTTGCATAATAATGCTGCAGAATGAAGATGTTTCTTAGCCAGACGTAGATGATGATAAAAATAACTTACCCAGCAGACAAGCTCCGAGCGTTTCGAAGATACTGGCAAGAATGTAAGCCTGGGTAAGCGTGATCACCTTGCTGCCAACGCTGGTACCGAACGAGTTGGCGGTATCGTTCGCCCCAATGGCGAAAGCAAGAATAAAGGCAATAATCGCACCCACAACGACCCATGGCACTAGAGTCGACTGAAACGCGACTAGGTCTACAACCATCTTGCGCGATTCCTGAAAATGAAAATTCGCTTTGCTAAGGTGACAGCCTTGTGAGTCATAAAAGTTGTGATTGACATGAAATGACTTCTATATATCAGCCATACTAAGAGACTGCTTTTTCGAAGAATTCAGCGAAACATTGTAATGTGATTTCTGCTACATTTTCAAATATTTCGTGATGTAGCAAAGAGGTAGAGGTAATTCACAGGGAATATAAGGCAAGTTAAGTGGTAGAAAATATTGGAAAAGAGCAATAGTGACAAGGGGACGTCAAAGAATGAAATAAATTTGCTCGTAAAAGCAAATCAGATGATAAGGGAACATTGTGACTGCTCTAAGCGCATTTGCAAGCGATAAGAAAAACGGAAATAACAGCCCCGAAGAGATCAGCTGATATAAATAAACTAATCAAAAAATATCCATCTTTGAACTACTTCATGAAAGTTCAAAAATCAAATTCTTCTTGATAGTTGCAATGAAAGAAGAAACAAACCTCAGGAAACGGGATACGATGAGCTCGGAACTCGGTTGCTGGATGTGCAGTCGCCTATAGATAGGCGAATAAGACAAAGCAAGTGATGTGGCCAAACAGTATATCTGGCGGTAGCTTTCGAACTAATTACCCCTGCAATAAAAAATGGATTCTCACATAGTTCATAAAATATAAACAATAAACAAAAACCGCGTTGAACGACACGTAACATTTCGAACATAAGGATGATATATGATAATGATATAATAACAAATTAACATTTCGAACATAAGGATGATATATGATAATGATATAATAACAAACGCTTCTATCAGGATACCATGAATATTTAAGAAGGCAGACGTCAGCTGCATAGATAATTTTTTTTCTATTCAGCTCACTTCACTTCAGAAAGAACGATTTAGAGAGCACAACAAAGGAACAGAAGCGTTTTGTGCATTAAACATCAGGATGATAAATAAAACAAATGATAAAATTCTGGAAATATTCTGAATGATAAGCCTTCGCCGTTCATAGCGACTCATTCATACTGCAAGTATAACTTCCAACGATCATATTCTTAGCTAAGCAAAGCAAGGTGAAAGCAAAAGTTCTGAGGGACATTCTAGAAAAACTGCTCAAAAGGTCATAGAATAGTAAATCTGAAAGTCAACAGAAGCGTAGAGACTGGATGAAGTGATTAAATTTCAAGGATCACGCCACATGGTCCTAAGAATCGAGGGAGAAAAGTCAAGCCTAAGAAATCAGAGCGCATAAAATATGAGCTCAAGAGCAAGATCTATGAAGGATAGGCTGAAAAGCAATATTACACAACATATTCAGCCCAATGAACCTCGAACAATAAACCTAATTTATCCAGATCGACAAGCGAAATGTGCGTTAAACCCTTTAATCTGCTTAGGATCATCGCAACTATGCGATAACTTGACATTTCGCAAAAAAAGGAAAAGTGACAAGACGGCGACACCTTTCTTTCGTATCGACAGCTTATGAACGTCAGAGCCGACAAAGCTCTAGCTTTGCCATCAGTGACGCTTGTGTTTGAATACGTGCCACCTCGAGAGAGACCACAGAGTTTTTCCAGCGGATACTGATAGGACCTCACAACTGTCGCGACAAACAAAAACTTTATCGCGAACTCAGCAGCAGAAGAAGTATGTAAGCCCAAGGTTTATGGATGAGCGGTTCAAAAAATCAAGGAAGAGTTGAAGGAAGGAAATGTAGTCTGAGTCAGTCAAATGTAGTTAGTAGTGTGTGGTTGAGATACAGCCGAGGGGGAGAAACTCTTCTAAGGATTTCTCAACTTTTCAGCACGGAAAAAGTAGAAAACCAGCAACTAATCCTCAAATTTTAGTCTATGTGATGATCGGAATCCATTTATAGCACCCAAAACTCAAAAGTGCAATGAAAATCGAATCACAAAAAAGCAAAGAAGATGTGTCAAAAAAACTGCAGCGCAATTTCATTTGCTGCAAGAAAGCGAAAAAAATTGCTTGGAAAAAGTCAGCGGAAACTTCATTTGCTGCAAGGAAGTAAAAAAGTTAGCATGGGAAGCTACAAATAGAATTTTCTGCATAATTTCGAGTACAAAACAATGATAAAAAAAATCCAGCATCAATGTGATGGCTGCTCCTATATAAATCTTGCAAGATTTGATCTTATGTTCGAGCACGTCCGATCTGTCTCTGAAAGAAACATTGCGCTACAAACACTTATCATTAGCGACGAGGAAGTCTGCGGCTATCGCGGCTCATCCTCTGCAAGTCTATTCTCGTAAACAAAAGGAAAGGAAAAGCATATGTACATTTTCTCCCTGCATAAAATGGTAATAAATTAGGTGGTTTTAAAATTTCGTTAACCGGTTTTTTCAAAAAATCATAACTTCCTTTCTTCCCAATAAATATTCTTAAATTTATTTTTGGTTGAAAGAGGAAACCATGCTCTTTACGGGGATGCCTCTTCCATGAACTAGTGTGAGGTTCGAGAGTTAGAAGCAGCTGATGGATTTTACTTAAGATTGGCAAGCAGGCTCACGAAAATTTTTGGAAGTAAATTTGTTTAGAAGAAGAATTTTGCGCATTACGCAGTGCCACTTTTCCCATGAAATAGTATGACATAGTTCAAGAGTTGAAAGCAAACAAAAAGAGTTGCTTTAGTTTCACATTTTTGAGCATGCTCAGGAAAACTGCACAGCATAAACCGAAGCACGAAGTCATGAACTTGGGTTCTGCGACCCGTCTTTCTATTTGAGCAAAAATCCTGCTAATCGATAGCAGATATAACACTGAATTTTAAGATTTTCGTGTCTGCGTTTTCCACTACAATAAAACTTGCTCTCGATCAGCACGAGTTTCGCTCGGACAAAAAGAGCAGGTCACAAAACCCAAGTTTATGATTGTTTCAGTTTTTGCTGTAAAGATTTTAGGTTTCTTGAGCATGCTCAAAAATTGAAATTCTCCCCAATTCTAACTCTTGAACTATGTCATACTACTTTATGATAAGTAGCACTGTAATGCGCAGAATTTTCTTACTCAAACAAAAAATAGCTTCGGAATCCCTTGTGACCCTTGAAAAATGCCGATCTTGAGTAATCCCAACTGCTTCTAATTCTTGAACTTTCTCACACTAGTCCATGTAAGAATTACCTTCGTAGAGAGCATGGCTTCCTCTTTCAAACAAAAGTAAGCTTAAAGATACCATTGAGAAGAAAAAGTTATGTTTTTTGAAAACCGGCAAACGAACTTTTGAAACCACCTGATTTATTACATTAGAAATGCTTGCAGAATACTTCTTCATACAGATAGCAGATCCAATGCTTTCAGCGAAATTTCTAAACATCAAAACTTTCACAGCACAAAGAAAGAGCCGTGTGACAGAAGACCAAACATTCTTCAAATGACTCGTGGCCTGCATCTTCGAAGTGGAAAAGCGTCGAGAACGATGGGATGGGCATAAAAGAAGAACTGTCCACGACAGCAGCAATCATTTCAGCGGCCTTGCTGGGTGTCATTATGAAGATGGATGTCATTCTTTATAGGTCAGAAAACACGACTCATTCATTGTATGGGGGCAAGTTCACTGGTATCATAAGCGAAGCAATGAGTTTGCGAGATTACGGTAGATCATAGCTCATTCAATACAATTCAGCCTGCAAAAGCAAGGTTTATATGGGTGTTGCAGGCTGCTTGTGAATACTGCAAATAGGAAATTTCATAAAAATTTCTACAAAGTGAGATCTATCTGATATGCTCTACTGACTCGAATGAGCTATATATTTTCGATCGTGGAATGCAACAAATTTTGCGAGACTTGATATCACGTTCTCAGGATTAAATAAATTGTGAAACCAAAAGCAATTTACCCTCTATACAAGAGATAATGGTAATTTTGCAATCTCAGAATGATAGAATCTAAAATTTGAATTTGCTAAGACTATTCATTCGACAAATCACTCACTACTAGGATTAAGAGAGGACGTGGTATTTATAAGGTACCAGTGCGTCACCTCTGCTTCGCAGAGGTTCGCACTGGCTCTACTATCTATGTGCCTTACTCATTCTCGTAAAATCGTGGCATTGGAACTCACCGCGCTATGCCGACTACCACGAATAAAATGTAAACAACCACTCATTTAGAAGGTCTTTTCACGTGAGATGGGTGATTTCGCGTGGATGAAAATTTTCGCAGGAAGACAAACGCAAATTTGAATAGATTTTTGGATTTGTCATGACTTGGTAGTCGCCATAAAGGCAATAGTAACCGTGAGCTACATCTCTGTGCGAAAATCTTCTCAAACGCTTAGCTAGAACCTTGGCAAATTGATCATTTACACAACCAATTCGTTTTGGCGCCGTTTTCGTTATGTAGTAAACTTTCGACCACTTTTCTGGCTAAACTTCATCGCTTGCACATTTGCTTACCAAACTCATCCACGACTCTGCAAAAAGTGCTGATACGGACCGAATTTTGCGGTAGAGAAGCCAGGTGGACCCGTTTGGTGCGCAATTTCTGAGGGATCCACTCAACGAATCTACTCGTGCTTTTGCGTGTTGGACTTTCATGAAGGTAGCATGCCCTATACAAAATTTGAGCTTAGAACGCTGGCTGGAACACGCTCCACGAATTTCGTAACAGACACACACAAACACAAAGTCACGTAAACATCCTTAGCCCGTTATTATAAGTCATGATAGCAAAAAAAATTCGCTAAAACTACGTCCTACCGTATACCTACCGTATCCCAGAGCACGATAATTTGTTAATAAAGAAAGAACTGCCTTGGCGAGTGAAGTCTAATTGTAAGTCTGCTCAGACCTAGAATAACCGTCTTTGAGAAAATTAAGGCCAAGTGCAAATCTCGTCAAGATCTTTCACATTTTGTGGCCACATTTGAGGTGGAATGTAAAGAATATCGCACTCGTCGAGTTGGAAGCAAAGGCAAAGAGAGCGATGGGATTGAGAAGAGAACACACGCATAAACGAGCGCAGTTATCTGATAAAATGTAGGCAATGTATCCGCTAGACTTAACAAAATGTCAATGAGAAAGTACAATATCGAGCTATTCAATAATCTCAAATATAAAGTATAGCATTTTCAAAGTGCACAAGAAGTGAGGGACGCTAGAAAGTGACATCAAAGTTGGAGGATAAGAGTGGAGAAAGTGAGTGTGTACTCAACAGGTGGCACACCGGGATCGATCCCGAACTCACGCGAAAATTAGAGAGAGTTAGCATAGGAGCAAGGACCGTTTAGACCATGGTAGGCAAAACGAGCGATGACGTAGAAAATGTACTGTAATATAAATTGACAGGCTGTCGCTCAACAAAAGGATAGCGACCAACACTCCAGGTGCGTCGCTTAGCATCTCTCTTGAGTGTAATCAAACAGTGCGAGAAGTGCTATCTCAACACTGCAAAAATGCGGTGATTTTCCCTAGCCAATTTAAAAGCTAATGAATTCAAGAAAAAAAACAAGATCTTATGCATAGATTCTCAGTGAAAGCCAATGGCTGGCTGCCCAGCCTGTGCCAATGGCTGCTGTGGCAAACACAAATCATCCAAGAACTAAATTGTTGCAATGAATTATCGAAGCGAAAAAAAAATGGATGCGATCAAAAAAATTCAAAGCATGA